CTCAATACACATCAAGATGAATTTTCATTATTTTTCGCACTTTCGTGTAAATGAAACAACAGCAAAAGGCATCCAGAAAATTAGGGTTGTAGAGGTTTAAGGAGGAAAGCCTTCGAGTTTAGGTTTTTCATGCCTTTTTTCCAAGAGAATTAGGGAATCCAGACAGGGACTTTAAAAAAAAATGTGACATAGCGAGATACAGTGTTCGACTTCAGGAGGTACATGTTATCGAAGTTTAAAGATACATTAACACTCCAATAAATAAATTCCCATACAATAAAATTATTCCAAAAGAAAACCTCGAACATACCTAGTTTTATAATCGTCGTCGTCATTCTTTGGCTCGACTTTGGCGAGTTCCTTATGCGCATTAGACCGGGATCCACTGCAAAAACATAACCCAAAATATTCAACATGAATCGCACACGAGCAAAAGCACGAACAACTCACCTTTTCTTGTGATCTTTGTGGTGATTCTTGGAGGCTCTTATTTTACTTGAAGCCATTTGCACAAGTTGAAATATCCGTCTGTTTCAACATTTACAACAGATCAGTCATGAAGTACAGTACATGTCACGCCTGAAAGATTTCACGGAAGAATCCGCCGCAAAATAATGCGAATGCACGAAGACAACAATTTTAATTTGCATGAGAATACGTTTTCTTTCCCTGAACACTATTTTTCCCGGAGAACTGATTAGGCGCGCAAATTCCGACAGCGACTCCAAAAGTCCAAACTTGATCTAATGAATATTCACTGTGCAAATCATTCACTCACTTCCCACGTTTAATCCGTGAATGACCAGAGAATCGGAAATTCAGCATCACAGCCATCTGCGAACCGATGAGTAAACATCATATCCCAAATCATTTCGAAGACACACAACCTAAAAATTAACCTAACACAACCTAATAATTACAAATTCTCGATGAAAATGGGAGAAAACTGGAGATTCCCGCCAATTAATGTTGAGCGCAGCTCCGCGCAAATTTCCACCAAAGTCATTATATAAAATGTTTTCATCACTGAAATTCTATAGAACTCATTTTTCCCACGATAACTACGACTCCGTGTTTTCGTCTAGTTATGTACTTGTTTAAATCTTTCACTTAGTTCAGCTCAAATCAAGGTCGAATGTTTTCCTTGTGTATTGTTACGATACTTCGGGTTGCGTCGTAAGAGGTCAAGTTAAACTTGCGTCACCCTGGATACTTGTTTTACCCGTTCTGGATCGAAAAAAAAGCCTGGCATTCTAAAATTAACGTGTAAATCGGCAATAACAAGAAAAAACCTGTCATGCGTTGTCTTAATTTTCAATTCAAGTTCTACTATACTTAACTGAATCATAGTACTGTACTGTACATTATTTCGGTTCAACTACGGTTAGTTTGGATTCTATTGAATCACCTTTGTCAGGAAGTAAAGTACTGTACTGTACTATAAAAAACCGGATTCGGTTCACAGTAGTTCACATATTTTCGCTAAGTTTTCAAGAAGACAAAGCAAGAGGTTGAAACGAGAAGACCCGAGACACGATGAAGTCTGCAGCATTTCAATCACAGTTGAATGACCATAACAGCCATAGAGATGGAATTTTCAACCACACGTAATTGAGCGTCTCACACTACGAATCCCGGGAATTTCGCTTTTTCAAAATCTTGAAAATCAATCAAGAAATACGCAGTTCCAGCCAAGCCTTCAAACATGGACAGCGGCCGATCCGGCGTGTTCACGCGAATTCTACCTCGTTGCTCGCAAAATCTTGCAAATTCCGCGGCGCGATGTAAAAACCTCTCATCTCGAAGCACTTGGTATGCATACAACAATGCATAAGCGTTCCCGGCGACTCCGTGACACAATCCGAAGCCCTTCTTCAGAAGCCCGTATTTCCACACAATGTCCGCAGCGTCGCGAGTCACTTCCAAGTACCTCGGATCACGGAACACTTCAAACGATTTCGCCATGAGAAACACAAATCCCGGAGCACCGTGACACCAATGCACGAGTTTGTCGGAACGACTCCCGAGAGAACTCGGAAAGTTTCCCGAAGCAAACCGCAAACTCATCAAGTGATCGATCGTCGCTCGCACTTTTCTCACATCCTCTTCTCTCAAATACACTTTCGCCGAGAGCAACAGGAACAATATACCACAGAACCCGTGCGCTGCGCCAAGATACGCCTTGTCGTGCCATTCGTAGTACAAAGGCGCCGGGAATCTCACATTGCGACTAAACCGTTCACCAGAATCAAGAATCGCGGAACACACGTCTCTGATGAGCTTTTCATCCACTGTCACTTCGGGAGAGCATTCGCGTTGCACAAAGAGCAGCGCGTAGAGAAATCCCGCACGACCGTAAAGCACTTCGTCCGGAATGCCGGAGTTGGTGTCCAACACCATGCCGGACAATTTCTTGATAATTTCGTGATAGTACGCCCTGGCTTTGTCTGGTTCTCCGTTTCTACACCTGGCAGCTGCTCCGATGGCGAGCAACCCAGCGTCTCCGCAGAGAAATGAGGGATATTTGAACTTCAGGCGTCCAACTTGCTTCTCGACAACTTCCAAACAGTTTCTCAATTCGGCTGGGTCCTTCGAAAGAAAAAAAAAATACAAAGCTATCAGGTTTTTACGGCGAGGATATTCCGGGTTACGTTCGATAACACTAGATTATTTCCTCTCCATTCGATATTTGACTTGCCTTTCCAAACGAAGGCTGCGCAGTAAAGAAAAGAACAACTTTTTCTATAAGTTTCACAGTACTGGATCATCTCGGCCCAAGATGTTTTACTCCACAGTATTACGTTCATTCGGTTCAATTCGTGTTCGTTGAGCCTCAGTACGGTTCATTTGGTTTTCCTACCCTTTTCCATCCTAAAGAAAATTGTCACCTTCTTGATTCCGAAGATTGAACATGAAAAGAAGGATCATTCCTTAAACAGTGATTAATTACTAACAGTTACAATTATAATAATGACCATGGAAAATTAAGTTCGAAATGGGAAATTCACTCAGGTAATCAAATCCCAAGTTCATCACTACCTGGCTTTCAAATAATCAATATGACATACAATGCCAATCTGGATTCTGGAAGTACCTCCATGAAACAAAGTTGCGGGATGCTTCCTCACATTCGAATCTTGAATGAGTTCGTGATCTAAATTCAGATCCTCTCTCGAACTGATTTTTAATCACAAGATGCGTTAAACGCGTCTTTCGTAAGTTCATTCAACACTCGTCGTTATTCCTCATCGAACAAAAAATTGAGAATTCAGAGAGCTCATCCCATGTTTTTACGGAAAAAAAGCTCCAGGAGCTGTCACTTGAAAATTCGACATGAATTAATTTCTAAAACGCCACGCCCAAATACTGTACTAGACATCAGCCCAGAATAGAATCTGAGCTTATAGAAATCATACGCAGTAGCCAGCAGAAAATAAATTTAAAGTTTCGAAAGCATGCGTCATTTTTCCCCCGGGCTATTTCCGTAAGTCTAATTTTCACTAATATCAGTCCGGCTAGAGTGAGAAATTCAAAGATCAATCGGAGGTTAACTGAATGTAATTGAAGATACACCCTTTTAAAATCGTAGCTTCGAACATTTTTGAACAAAAATTTCAAAATACAGGTGAACTCTCCACACGGAGCTTGTTCATAACTATTTTCTGAGTGCAACGAATTTCTTTATATTTGTTGGTCACAAGGGATTCTCTCCCCATGCTACAGTATAGGGGTTCTCCACAACTATTTTTTTTATCTTTTCGCAACGAAACGCATCAAGTAACTGTTCAATAGTTAATAGTTATTACAGTAGTTATTACTGTTCAATAGTGATTACATTCGTGCGTATGCCCATTGAATCAATCCACGTACCTTGGATTTGGAATGCACAAAATAATGTAAAAGCGCTGCACCACCAAGACCCGTATAAACGCTTTCTCCGCTGTAACCACGATCATGATCTGTTCGCGTTTTTGTGCGCCACTCCGAGAAATATTTATCTGCCATACTTCGTGAGGAGCTTTGAAATTCTATGTTCAACGTGCCATCACGCTGAACAACCGATTCTTCTTTGTCCGACGGAAAATCTTTCAAGTTATTGCGAAACGACCTCTCTTCTATGTCACTCATCTCGTTTCCATAAGTCAATACCACGATTTCTGGGGCAAAAATGGAAGGAAATGGATCAAAGAATGATGGCAAGGTTGGCAATACAAGAATGTACATTCGATAAACGAAGAACACTTCGCGGCACGATTTTCGAGTCGTTAAATCACACACACACACTACAGCGCAAAACCCGGGAACTTGGCATTCATCGGATCCAGAAAATCATTCAAGAAGTAAATCGTACCCCCGAGACCTTCAAACATGGACATGGGGGTGTCAGGGACATTGACAGGCAGCTTTCCCCGAGTTCCGCAGAACTTAGCAAATTCGGCAGCACGGTGCAAAAACGCCTTATCACCCAGCACTTGAAACATGTAGAGCAAAGCATACGCATTGCCGGCGACTCCGTGACAAAGCCCATAGCCCTTCTTCAACAAGCCACGTTCCCACACGTTCACAGCGGCTTCGTAAGCCGCATCACGATACTTATAATCACCGAACACTTGAAAGGCCTTTGCGAAAAGGAACACGAAACCCGGAGCACCATGGCACCAATGCACAAGATTATCAGACCGATCGCCGATTGCAGCTGGGAAGTTTCCTGATGGAAATCGCGAGTTCCGCAAATGATCGATTGTCACTCGGACTTTTTTCTCAAGATCTTCCGCGTTTAGATAACTGACAGCGTTGAGGAGCATGAACAGAATGCCTGCGAATCCGTGGGCAGCACCCAGATATGCTTCGCTGTACCATTCGTAGTACAATGGCGCAGGGAATCGCATCCTTGCGCTCCAGTTTTCCCCGGACTTAATGATCGCTCCACAAGTTTCCCTGATCAAGGCATCACTCACTGTGATTTCCCCGGGACATTCTTTCTTAAGAAAGAGCAACGAGTAGAGATAACCCGCACGCCCGTAAAGAAGCTCATCGGGGACTTTGGAATCCGGGCTGAGAATGATTCCGGAAAATGATTCCAACTGCTTGTACAGTTTGTCGGCCATTTCCAGATTCCCGCTTTTGCAATACGCAGCTGCACCAACTGCCAGAACCCCGGCATCCCCGCAAAGAAAGGACGGATCTTTGAACTTCAAATGCGGCAAGCAGACATTCACAGCTGCTACGGCTTTGTCCAGTGCGGTTGGATTCTTTCAGAGAAATCAAATCGGTTCAACACGTAATGAAAATCCAAACACAGTATATCCCTCACACATCCATACATTAGAACTCCTAGAAACGGTAAATCTAAAACCAACCACTGTAGTTCAATCGCGAAATCTCATACATCGTCAAGTCTTTCGATTTTTCGGAAGAAATTCATTTAGCAAGTGGGAAGATCATGCCGAATGAAAAAAAATCTCAGAGAGAAGTAAAACGATACCATATGCCTTCTATTACACTTCAACTCGCGTCTTCTGCACCCAATTCACACCATAGATTGAACTTGTTTTCTGTGAATTTGGGAATTAAAAACTTCCTGGTTCACAGTTGGCATGCGAACCTAAGACACAATAACTTCCACGGGGTAAGCTCTTCTTTTTACTTTATAATGCGGAAAACGGATAACCGTGGGGCTGCTTCACCAACCTTGTTTTTCATGAACAAAAAATAGTGAAGCAAAGCGGCTCCACCAATGCCAGTGTAAACGCATTCACCTTCCAGCCCATGTCTGCTCGCAGATTTCTGCTCCCATTCGGCCAGAAATTGAGATCCGAGCTGGTGAATTTCGTTCAGCACTAGAGGAGTCAGGGTTCCATCTCGCAGAACATTATCTTCGTTTCGCGTGGAATATTCTCGCAATCGATTTTCGAAAAACCGGCTTTCGCTCGCTCGTCTCGCCATAATTTAGACATATGGTCCCCACGTCTGCATTGACGGATCAACAATCAATTTCATTGCCGAGAAAACATATAAAAAGATTTGTTCACACTTCTGAGCGGCGAATCAAGCACATCAGTGGAATTCCAGTAGGTATCATTATCGCTGCAAATAAAAGAAGTCACTTCCGGAAGTAGAATAAAATTCAAACCATCCAAATGAATGCGCTAGGAAATACTATACACGTCCCCATCAGACAAGTGAAAGTTCGCAAGCATTCAGTATAGTAATTGCAACAGATGGTCATAAAAAACAACATAAACAGAATTGCACAACCTCATCGGCGAACGGACAATCGATAGCGCTCAAGCTCTCCGGCATGTGTCAAATGAAATGAGCTGATAAACAAAAGTAGCGTCTAGCTTCCACTGAAAACTGAGAATTTTGGCGCATAATCGTTACCATAGAAATGTATGCTTCTACGGATCCGGATTCTCTTTCGGATTGACGATTTACTCATTTGAAAAGGGAAAAACCTATTTTTCCGGCCAATTCAAGACGGATCCTATACCGTACGGTATACAACCTCCTCTCTCATCACTGGAACGACATCTAGGCGTTTTAGCTGTCTTAATTGCTTGCTTTATTGATAAATTTGAAGAGTATGAAGATTATTTTTTCAAAGCTATCCAGCCGTTAAGGTGCTTATGTACTTACCGCCGTTCATGCCAACATTTTTTTCAGTAGATGACATGCAGACAATGCAAAATTTTTCACATTATTCATCATCATTTCTCATGCACCCAGCACTCTTGACATCGACTTCTCCAGAACAATAAGTAACCACAAGAAATTTCTAAATTTGGAATGCACAACATCATATAGCCACTGTGTTAGTTCTTCATTTAAAAAAAGATGATAGAAATGTCCCTCCTTATATCAGATACTTGCAGTATGCATGCAGCTCCCACACAGATATATTCCAGATCCAAAAAATCATCTTTCAATAAATGCAGTTGCAATCTAAATTTCCTCTTTAATTTTCTATATACAGTATAGCTGCTTTGGTCTGGGAGGAAACATGGAGAAAGAGTGTGTTGGTGGAGAGGTAATGGTACCTTGTATAACGAACTTACAGTAATCTGTTCCAGAGCTAGGTTTGTAATGCAAAAGGTTCCTACTGATGCGAAACATGATTTCCCATAGACTTCTGTGGGAAATCATTGTAAGGTTTTATAAGTAAGAATTAGATTAATCAAGCCTTACACCTTGATTGCAGATTTAGCAGAGTTTTCAAACTTTAGAGTTTTCAAATGGGAGATGAATAAATCAAAACACAGCAATTGGCCAGGCGCGAACCGACCGGGATTTCTCCCTACTAGCGCAGACCTTTCTTTGAAGCACACACACACCCACACTAGGTTAAATCATACACAGGATTTGCACAGAATACAAGGTATACACACTCAGATATACAAGAGTTACAGCAATGAAGAGTATTCAGAGTCGTAGGATTTCAAGTAGTCCAGAAGTGGACTTGATTTCCTTTACAATTAGAATTTTGCAACTGGGTCAAGTCCCGATTTTGACAAGGTATTCCCAC